TGCATCGCGACGCGCTCTCCTCCTCCGTGGTGAACAGCGGCGCCCGCAGTCTCGCCCGACAATTGCAGCACTGCAGCACCTTTATTTTTCTTGTATTTTTACACGCTATGCTCTTCTGCTTGTACGTCGCATCCAACAAAAAATACCGCTGTATGGTTTTTCCATCATATCATATGCCTAAGTACACACTATACAACAAAAACCTAGGGTTTCACTACCTCACTTGTTCCTATTTTCAGCTGACCCTTGGTCTGCCTGTCGGTCTTGCTGCCTAGGTGGGTCTCTGTATGCTCTTCGCATTTTTGAAATTTCTGAAAATTGCTGCCACCGACATTTCAGCTGTTTCTCGATGTTCACTTATTAGCACAGTAGTACAAGCCGTCATTCCAAAGAGATGGAAGGACTACGCTTAGTCCGCTTCTGCCCAGAGGGGTCTTAAGCTCTCATATCAGGGAGGCGTTTCCTCCTTGACCTTCAGCGATGCATGAGAGTCGCTCAAGTGCGTGCTTGAAATCCACCGCAAGACACACATTTACCATCCAGCGGCTCTGACCAGCCGCTGTCCACCGAGAGAAGGACCGTTGAACGCATTGAGGACCACCATGCACAGCATCAACAAAAGCGTCAGAGAAGGGGGAAGAAAGTTAATAAGGACACAGCTGAACAGTAAAATGAGATAGGCGACTAACTTGGGCAATAATTTCAATGACCCGATTATTATGTCTTTTTTTTTCCCCGCTCTTGTCTGACCCTCACTTTTCCCACCAAATCCACGTCTGCAGTTCCACGTTTTCCCTTTCCGTATGCAATAATATCCGCATCACACTTGAATAAATGATGAATGCAAGGTCAAGGCGAAAATAGAAACATAAACTATTTCAGTCTTAGTCAGACAGTTCTGCCTTTCAAGCAACCATGGTGATCGAAATCAGCGGCCTGATAGAAAGAGCCCCCATTCTCCCCTTTCCCACAAACAAAACAAAAGAATATAAAACCGATATGAACGAAACGCTTGTCGCCCCATTCACACGCATATTCACAGCTCCAGCGGCAAATACATGGCCCAAAGAATACCAACGATCTATTCCTCGGAAATGAAAGAAAATCTGTCCAGGGAAAAAAAAAATCTGAGGTGCACTCAAATTTGTTTTGGAGACCCATTACTGAAACAACATAAAACACATATTTCGTGCTCAACATTATCAATTCTGTGCAGATACTTCTTTTTGTGGGGGAGAAGGTAAGAGACGATTAAAAAAGGCCTTTTCAGCACAGAACGGCCACCACAGTTTCGCAGCCCTCAAGTGCAAAATCAGTAGATCTCATTATATACAATGACGCATCACATTTGCAATTACTAAGGCTTACCATAATTTAGGTACCTTCGTTCACTTGCCGCTTTTAAAGAGAGGCACCATTTTTTTTCTTAAATGTCGGCGGGATTATCGGTTCCCATTGCAACAGACAAATGGAAAATAAAGAATACTGTAACATTAAAAAAAAAAAAAAAGAACTGGGGGGTTTAAGATGCCTACAGAACTACCGCGTACTTCCACTTGGAGGAGAGAGAAGCAGTACTGCATGAATTACGAGTTACGCGATATTTTATGGCCTATAAGCCTACCCTAGCTGGGAAAGCAAATATGGAGATCATTCATTGTGGCAACAGACGTTTAAGTAATTAATTTCTAGGATAGCTTTCAAAACGACAAGTTTCCCCGATTAACGGTATGGTGCATTCTCAGCAGCATATTTCCAGAAATGAAAAAAAAAAGGTATCAAACGACCTGATGGAAAAAACTTGAGGCATAACATTCTTTCATTCACTTAGACACTTCAATCGGTACCCTTCTTCCGTAAGACAATCCGTAAGAAGCAGCGAAGGTTACTAAAATATAACAAAAATATAAACGAACAAACAAGGCTCATATCAGGATGCGGAGAGCAGCGAGAAGATGATAGTGTCGTCTTACAGACCTGCAGGGCGTCG